ACCAGGCTCCTGTGTCCATGAGATTTTCCAGGTAAGGATGCTGGAGTGGGTTGCCATTTCCTTCTTAAGCACTGCTTTAATGCCACCCCACAACTTCTGATATATTGTTTTCATCTTCATTCAGTTAAAAAAATACTTTCTAAAACCTCCCCCCACCCCTTGTTTTTAGAGTTAATACGCACTCAGATGGGAAACTCAGAAGATGCCTAGAGCACTGTGTGTGGTGCCCTCCTCTCTGATACTTTATCCTATGAATACTTGCTGCTTTCGTCTCCCTGGACGCTCAGCTTCATGTCGTCAACTCAGGGAGCCCTCTGGACTAAGATCTGTGTCAGCCCTCAGTCAGTTTTAATTGCTTGTTATTTTCACTATGGGTTGTGTTTCCCTGCTTCTTTGTATATGTGGGACTCTTTAACTGGGTGCAGGAAATTGTGACTTTCACCTTGTTGAGTGCTGGATGTTTTTGTGTCTTTATAAATCTTGAGCTTTGCTCTGTGATGTAGTTCAGTTACTTAGAAACAGTTACTTGGAAACAGTTTTATCCTTTTGAGTCTTGCTTTTACAAATTTGTGATTGTTTAATGATTTTTTTTTTTTTTTAGGGAAGAGCAGTGGTCATTCTAGGCTTAATCTAGAAATAATTAAATCCACGCTACTACTTGTCTAGGAATAATTCATTCTACACGACTGAAGTAAGATCTCCCTAGGGACTTCCCCGGTGGTCCAGTGGTTAAGAATCCGCCTTCCAATGCAGGGGACATGGGTTCAATCCCTGGTCTGGGAAGACCCCACATGCCTTGGGGCAACTTCGCCTGTGCTCCACAACTGAGCCCATGCATCTAGAGCCCTTGATCCTCAACAAGAGACGCCACCATATGAGAAAACTGTGTGCCGCGCCTGGAGAGTAGCCCCTGCTCACTGCAGCTAGAGAAAGCCTGGGCACAACAGTGAAGACCTAGCACAGCCGGAAAGAAAGAAAGAATTTTTAAATGGTTAAGATGGCAATTACAAAAAAATCTAAAGACTCTCCTAGGTCCTCTCCTCAATGCTCTGTGAACTGAATGTTTTTGCAGCCCTGGGATTGGAGCGGGCACCCACCTGCTCCCGTGCGAATGCCACGCACTATTCTCTCTAACCCTTTCAGATGGCTCTTTCCTTGAACACGGGTGGCTTCCTCTCAAGCATGTTCTGATCAGTATGCGTGCAGATGGGAAGCTCCGAAGTCCAGAAGATGCCCAGAACCCTCTCTGTGTGGTCCCCTCCTCTCTGATACTTTATCCTAGGAATACCTGCTGCCTTCTTCTCCCTGGACTCCCAGCTTCACGTCCGCAACTCAGGGAGGCCTCTGGACCCTACCTCGATGGTCTGGTCTGCAACCTCGCTCAGGGATACAAACTGAGGCAGTTACAGAACTCTCTTGGTTTGTTTCCCATCTCTCAGGATTCCTGTCATTCATTACATGATATCTGTTGTATCGGAAAACCATTGTTTCATATATTGTCATTTTCTTTTTTTTCCTTCTTGTTTCTCGAAGAAAGGTGAGGGACTTCCCTGGTGATCCAGTGGTTAAGAATCTGCCTCGAAATGCAAGGGACTCAGATTTGATCCCTGGTCAGGGAACTAAGATCCCACATGCCATGGAGAGACTAAGCCCACGTGCCACAACTACTGAGCCCACACCTCACCACTAGATGTGATGCATCTAAAAATAGTAAGAACTAAGAAACTAAGAAACCTGATGCAGCCAAATAAATATTTTTTTAAAAAGAGGAAAGGTAATTTCAGTCCTTATTGCTCCATGCTGGCCAGAAGTAGAAGTTTCTTTACTAACTTCTTAAGTTTAGCTGTTAGTCCTTCAAGTTTTTTTTTTTTTTCTATTCTCTCACTTTAGGGACTCCAACAACACAAACATTAGACTGCCTGAAGTTTTTCCATCTCACTCATTCTCTGCTTAATTTTCTTTTTTTTCCCTCTCTCCATGTTTGTATTGGATTGTTTCTATCGCTAAGTGTTCAAGTTCACTCATCTTTTCTTAGCCAATGTCTACCCTGTAGTGAACCCCATTTAGGGTATTTTTAAAACATTTATTTTATGAATTTGGCTGCATCAGGCAGGTCTCAGTTGTGGTGTGTGGGCACCTCTAGTAGTGGCACATGGGCTTAGTTGCCCTGCAGATTGTGGGATCTTTGTTCCCCAACCAGGGATTGATCCTGCATCCACTGCATTGGTCCCACTGGACCACCAGGGAAACCTCCCCATTAAGGGTATTTTTAATCTCAGATATTGTACTTTCATTTCTAGATACACAATTTGGGTCTCTCTTTTTTTTTTTAAATCTTCCATGTCTCTGCATAGCATCTTCAATCTTTCCTCTAGCTTCCTGAGCACATGGAATACAATAATAGTTGCTTCCAGTGTTCTTTTCTACTAACTCTATCATGTGTCAATTTTGGATCAGTTTTGATTGATTGTTCTCATTATGGATCATACATTCCTGTTTCTTTGCATACTTGGCAATATGATAGGTGCCAGAAACTGCAATTTTTACCTCGATAAATGTTGAACGGTTTTGTTTTCCTATGTGTATTTTTAAGTTTTGTTCTGGGATGCAATTATGTGATTGGGAAACAGTTTGACTCTTTCAGATCTTGCTTTGGAGCTTTTTCAAGTAGCTCCAATACATCTAGCTATGACAAACCTAGACAGAATATTAAAAAGCACAGACATTACATTACTTTGCCAACAAAAGTACATATAGTCAAAACTATGGTTTTTCTAGTAGTCATGTACTGATGTGAAAGTAGGACCCCAAAGAAGGCTGAGCACCAAAGATTTGATGCTTTTGAACTGTGGTGTTGAAGAAGAACTCGAGAGTCCCTTGGACTGCAAGGAGACCAAACTAGTCAATCCTGAAGAAAAGAAACACTGAATATTCTTTGGAAGGACTGATGCTGAGGCTCCAATACTTTGGCCACCTGATGCAAAGAGCTGACTCATTGAAAAAGTCTCCTGATGCTGGGAAAGACTGAAGGCAGGAGAAGAAGGAGACAAAAGAGGGTGAGATGGTTGGATGGCATCATTGACTCAACAGACATGAGTTTGAGCAAATTCCAAGAGATGGTGAGGGACAGGGAAGCCTGATGTGCTGCAGTCCATGGGGTCACAAAAAGTCAAACATGAATGAGTGATTGAACAACAACCAGTATGCATCATTTAGTTTAAGCCTAAAGCCTCTTTCCCAAACCCTCACTTCTGAATACTCCATCTGATGCTCTGTGAATCATAAGGTTTTCCCCTTTAGTTAATGGAAATGGAAACTATTCCTAGACCTGTGTAAATTCTAAGCATCATTCTTTCTAATCTTTTTGGGTGTGTCTTTCCTGACCTCAAATGTTTTTCTCCTGTGCATTCCCTGATCAGACTCAAGGAAGACCCTCTGCAAGTCTCCAGGGTTCTCTCTCTTTGCAGCCGTCTCCTCTTCTACAACTGGCCTTGCAAATTCTAGCTGCCTTGGTCTCTCTGAACTCACAGTTCAGGGAATCCACTGAGTTATACCTGCGTTCCCTTTATCCCCTTTATGATACATCTTGGAATCTTTTTCCAGGTGATAATCTGGGACAATCATAATACACATGCCATTTGTTTCCTGCCTCTCAAGGATCATTATCCTTCGTTGCCTGATGATCAGTGTCTTAAAATGCTTTGCTTAATGTATTTCCCCCCAGATTTTAGTTGTTTCAGGCAGGATTATAAATCTGATGCCTTTTAATAGATCTCATCTGGAACCTGAGGTCCCCACAATTTTCAAGGCCTAATATGAACAGTTTTTGTAGTTGTTGGTCCTATTTCTAATAGTTAAAATTTACTCATAAACTTGTTGAGAGATTATGATTTTAATCCAAAACTAAAATTTTAAATTTAAACCCAAGCAAATTAGTTCAGTCACTGTTTCTAAGGATACTTATTTCATCAACAAACAGTTGTGCACCTAGTGGTATATGGTAGACATATTTCTAATTTCTGGGGATTATGGCCATGAATGAGACTAAATCTCTGGCCTCACAGAGTTCATATTTTAGTGGACATGTTGTTCAAAAACGTTAGCATGATGTATTTGCAAATTTGTAAGAAAGCTCAAAACAATAAAACTAAGTGATGGAAAAAATTCTAAGGAACAATGATAAATCCAGGCATACTTTCAGCTTGGAACCTGTCAACAAGTTAGTAGCCCTGAACCACGGTTATGTAGCCTGTGAGCAACTTTTATTCACTCTGGACATAAGTTGCAGGAGGCAGGTGCCTTGCCTGCCAGCCGCCTCTGGATTCCCCGTGCCTAACGCAACCTCCACTTCAAGGGACCTCATCTTGGTTCCTACAGGGCACAAGGCGCACGAAACAGCTAGCCAGGCCCGTACGGATGAAAAGACTTAAGTCAAAACATGAGGGGGAGATGAACATGTAACACGAAGCTGGCTGCTGTCCTCCTTTGTCAGCTGTTTCAAATTTACGACTGGCAGGTGAGAGCAGACACTTTCAGCCTTTGGTTTGGTTCCCGACTTCTTAACCCGGTTGGTCCAAGTCCTTTGCCTTGATTTCCCCAGGTGAGGGCAAGGGAGGGGAGTAAGAAGAAAAGGGAGTCTGTAGCTTCTGAACTTTACTTTTTAAGGGTGTGTGTGTATGTGGAATCTATGAATATGCGGGAACACATGGAAAGCGCGAATACGCTGGACAATACAGATGTGCCAGGGGTGGGGGTGGGGGGTTGGCCAGGGACCCAAGCCGTGTGTGTCCCTCCTCTGATCCCCGAACACCCAAGCACCTGGGTAACCCACCTGGGCGCCCGCGAGTCCTGCTGCTCCATGAGCCTCAGGGTGGACGGGAGGCGTGGGCTGGTGCCGGTGGACTCAGCTCGCCGTGGGGCAGGTTTGGGGTAGCACTGGGCGTGCGGACCCCAGTCGCGGGGCCCCGCCGCCAGCCAGCACGTGCTCGGAGCGACACGCCCGCCCGTCCGACCCCGCGCGCCGCGCCGCCGCCGCGACCACCGAGCGCCATGAACCAGATCGAGCCTGGTGTGCAGTACAACTACGTCTACGAGGATGACGAATACATGATCCAGGAGGAGGAGTGGGACCGCGACCTGCTCCTCGACCCCGCCTGGGAGAAGCAGCAGAGGAAGGTCAGCCGGGGTCGCGTGCTCGCCGTCTGCGGGCCCGACCCGCCGGTCTGCGTGTCCCCTTAGCCGAGGGCCGCCCGCGCGGGGTCGCCGCCGACCGGGGGGACTCGCGGGAGGGCGCTCGATGGAGGGCTGCGTGGTCCCGTGTCCTGGTGGCCCGGGTGCGCCGGGAGAGAGGAGATAAAGTCCGGGGACGGTCACGGAACCGGGCGTCGTGGGTGCGCGCGCGCGTGTGCGTGGGTGCGCGCGTGTGTCAGACAGGAGTTACAAAACGAAAAATGTTAAGGGAGAAACAGTGCGGGCGTTTCAGTTTTAACCTGCATTAGACCAGAATCTCAAAGAGTCTCAGGTCCGCTTCTGACCCCTCGAGTCTGTGACCTTCGCCACAGAGTTATTTCCTGGTCCCGTCGTGTTCAGTAACCGTCCCCCCAAATTAAAGAGGTCAAATGAACATCGGCTTCATTCCGATTTTCACAGGGCGGCCCCAGAGAAGAACTGGAAATCATTTATTAAATGTTCTGGGGCTTCTTGGAGAGGGATGCTGTATGAACACCAGACATTCACCCACAAAGTAATAGTTATTTCACAGTCTATTTATGGTTAGTTGAGGTAAGCACACAGGGACGAGGGAGTCAGCCAGCTTTAAAAGTTCCCTGCTCATCTTCGTTGGCGCTCTCTGGGGGCCCAATGGAACATTCCACTATTTCAAGGTTTCTTCTTGATCCCCTTGGCTAGAACTCTAGGGACTGCTCACCAGGAGGCTAAATCCCGCCTCCGTTTGACTGGGCACAGAGCCTGGCCGGGTCAGGAATGCCAGCGCAGACCAGCTCACCCAACCTTCTGGTGACAGTGTCCTGGCAGAAGCAAAGTGCCCTATGCTTTTTCACCCCCTGTTTTTCTTGGGGTGGGGCAAAGTGGGTTTCCCTTCTAAGGGCCTGCTTTTAAGTGGATAACGTCTGTTGACCATATGTGTGCATGGGAATGCTCTGTTTAGCTGCCACAGTGGGTGATTATCTGATAGTGCCTGGTGAATAAGTGTCTGACTGCAGGGAACACATCCCATACTCTTAACAAACAGAAGCAGAGAGGTTTCATATTTGGATGATTATCAAATAACCATTTTAGAGGGTTTTTTGGTTGTTTATAAAATAACCAAATATTTTCAAATCCAGATTTTTCTTTTGTTGTCATTTCTCCGTTAAGGAGACCACTTAATAAATTATTTATTTGAAAGCTCCAGTTTAGCTACATTTCATTCTCCCTCTGAGTCCCTACCTTCTTGAAAACAGTGGAATGAGAGTGATAAGCGGAAGTTGAGTCTATAGAGGAGAATAAAATTTCAGACCTTCTACAGTTTTTAAAATGACTTATTGTGAGGGAAACACCTGGCCTAAGGATTATTACTGTTTATTATTATTGTGTCATCTGGGCTGATGGACACATCATCAGTCAGAAAGAAGTTAAATTGTTGCTTTAATTTTTAACAGTGTGTTTATTTTTTGAAAAAGTTTTCCAGTTTTGATTACTACATTTTTTTCATGTTTTTTTTTTTTAAGTTTTAAGTCTGTGTTGCAAAGATTGCTTTTTTTTCTCATGATAGGTAGCTTGCTCATCATTTTTGAAAGTAATAGTCTAATCACAATCGTTTCTGTTGATTTTTTAAAATTACAGCACAGGGCAGGGTTAATTTTAGTTTCCAAAGGCCATATAGACATATGTCATTTGTCATGTATACATATATGTATATAAAATATATATATATTCACATACATAGTTTTTAATTATTTTACATATAATGTATAATTATATATAATTTTTAATACACACTATTTGGGCATATAATTTCCTTGTAATTTTTTAAAGATTGGTGTTCCTATGTGAATATATTATTAAAACTGTATAACACTTGAAATATGTTATTAAAAAACAGACATATGTCCTGGTCCTGCTACTGCTGCTGCTAAGTTGCTTCAGTCGTGTCCGACTCTGCGACCCCATAGACAGCAGCCCACCGGGCTCCTCCGGCCATGGGATGTTCCAGGCAAGAGTACTGGAGTAGGGTGCCATTGCCTTCTCCAGTCCTGGTCCTAATAATAATAATAATGCTAAAAAGTGAGAATTCATTTTTTTTCTCAGGTACATTGAGTGCTGTGTTGTGATATTAGGGAAAAACAAAACAGAAGGAAACTTTCCATTAGGACATGGACCTGAACAGATCCAGAAGATCCTCTATTTTCTACTTTTTTGTAGAGAACCCACTCAAGGCAGTAAAATGAAATAGTTCTGAACCGAGAGGTCCCGGCAGCCAGAGCAGTGGCCTCTATTTATGTCCTATGAGCCAAACTGCTGGAACAGGACAAGGATAAAATGCCATTGTTTCTATTGTGGGCTACCTTCTCCACACTTGCCGTTTCAGTGATATGCCGGGTATGAGATCTGTCAACAGATGCTGGTAACACATGATGACGTCTGTAGTGTTATAATGGATGTGGGGCCTAATTATATCCACAGTTCACAGAGTCTCATGGGCTGTGGTAATCCTTGCTCTCTGGTATGGAATTCCTCACTATCTTAGTAAAAGTGTAGTGCTGTGTGTGTGTGTGATGAGAGGTTTTTTTTTTTTACATTAATTTTGTCATCTTGACTATTTTAAAGTGTACAGTTCAGTGGTGTTAAGTACATTCATATTGTGTAGTCAGTCTCCATAACTCTTTCCTTCTTGCAAAACCCATTAAACCCAAACTCTGTACCCATTGAACAATAATTTTGTATCCCACCCCCACCCCCAGCTCCTGGCAACCACCCTTCTACTTTCTGTCTCTATGAATTAGACCCCTAGGGACCTGCTCCTGGAATCATACACTGTTTACCCTTTAGTGTCTGGTTGATTTCACTTAGCATCATGTCCTCTAGGTTCATCAGTGTTGTGTCATGTGTCAGAATGTCCTTACTTTTTAAAGCTGAATAATAATTCACTGACTGTATGGACCACATATTTTGTTTATCCATCCATTGATTGATTCACCCATGGGTTGCGTCTACCTTTTGGTTATTATAAATAGTGCTGCGAACATGGGTATATAAGTACCTCTTCTTAACCTTGCTTTCAGATTTTTTTTTTTTAAACTATGTACCCAGAAGTGAAATCTCTGGATCTTCTGGCAATAATTGGCTTTCAATTTTTTGACGATGCACAGTGCTCTTGCCACAGTTTAGAAGATGTTGAATTTAGCAAGAGTGTGTAAAGATGCTTCAGAGTTCTCCCCTGCTCTTTCCAGGGGTATTTGAGAATATTTGTATTCATGCAAATGGGGCTGTCTTCAGTGGACTTTTAAAACTTCTAGACCTTTGGTGCTTAGATGTAAGTTTCTCCTGGAAGCAAAGAGCACATTCATCCTTTAATTCAACAGCAGCTTAATTGGGAGGTGACTTGTCAGAGCAGCAATGCTGAATATGTGTGCTATCTCCGTGGGCACAGAGTGCTGTCCTTCACCACCTTGCAAGGCTAAAACAGGCCTTTTAAGGAAGTGACTGTGTGTTTTGATACATAACGGCTTCTTCCATCCTTAATCTGTAAGAGCTAGGTGATCAAAACACTTTTCTGTTCATTGTCAAGAGCATAAGAGAGTTGTTCACTTATTCCACATTCAGAATTCTGATCCGTTCTCATTGTTCTAAAGAAATTCAAGTTCTGTGTACTCACAATTTAGGTGGACCAGCTCACCGTTCACCTCAGTGCACCGGCTGTCAGTCCTGCCGTCAGACTAAAATGTTGCCCCGTGGGGTCAGGCAGTGTGGAAGGACACTTGTGTGGGAGTAGCTGCCCACAGGTCCGGATTAAATAGAGCGCTCAGAAACTGCCAGTTGCCCCTTTCCGTGGTCTGACGAGCAGCTGTTGGCTTAGGATGCAGGTGCAGGCTGTTTCACCCTGCACATTGGAGTATGCTCTTGTGGGAATTTTTCCTGGGGAAGAAAAGGTGAGAATCGTTCCAACAAGGTGGATGATGAACCAAGGGCCTGTGACATGTCTCAAATTCATGAGACCTAGATGAACCTCAACTCCACCTGGTACCCTCTGTTTGACCATAATTAAGTCACTAGACCTTTAGATTTGTGTCTCTTCATCTGGAAAATAAAGATAAGGGATTCCCTGTCTTTCTTGCCTCATAGTTTTTCAGAATCAGATGGTCAAACAAGTTTCCATCGAAGGGGCTTTGTAGACCACACAGTGATCTGTAAATGTTATTACTATCCGTGTGCAGCCAATAGTTGTTAATTTCATCAGGCAGTGTCGATAGTAATCAGTATTGTGGTTGGACTTTGGAGGGAAGAAGAAGCACATCGGTTGTTCCTCAGTGATTTGGATGTACTTTTTGTGTGTGCAGTAAAATGTACAGAGCATAAGCTGTGCCATTTTAACCTTTTTTAGCTGTACACTTCAGTGACATGACTACAGTCACATCTGACCTGGAGGGGTGGGCTGGGGGAGGCTGAGAAAGTCACCAAGTGGCCAGAGCGGGACACTCAGCTCCATGTTAATGGATGTGCTTGCTGACATGTCTGCGATTCAAGATGTGTTTGAGGAAGTGTGAAGATGAGAGGAGCTTAACTGAAGCCAAAGATGCAGATTCAGTCCCAGTGCTCTGTGACAACCTAGAGAAGTGGGATGCAGTCAGAGGTAGGAGGGAGGTTCGAGAGGAGGGGACATATGTATACTTAGGGCTGAGTCATGTTGATATATGGCAGAAGCCAAGCCAATATCGTAAAGCAATCGCCCTCCAATTAAAAAGAAAGAAATAAAAAACAAATTCAGAGAGAAAATTACATTGCTAACCTGGGGAGCCAGGTTATAGAGGACCTGGGATGCCAGGGTGAGTGTGGAGTTTGTGGTCCAGGAGTGTTCTGGGGAATGCTTGAGCTAGGAGGAGCCATGTTTCAAGTCGTTTATTGTTTGCGGAATAAACTGGAGTCGGTAAGGGCCTGAGGTGGAGGATCCAGGTAGA